ATATATTCAATATGTAGTTTCCAAGATAACTTCTTGTCAAGGACCATTTTTATTAATATATTGTGACTGATTGTATTTTAGTTTTACTTTCTGTAACGGCCACAGCTAATTTTTGGTTCCGTACTTTTGCATTGCAAAGCCCCTACATGATACCCCGCAGTATTGGATCCTGACGCGGTTGCGGGGTTTGAGTGGTGCAGTGATTATTAAGGGGACGTGTAACGCTAGATCAAGCGTATGACGACCACCAATGAGAATCCAGACTAATAACAATACCTTCGTGTTTGTGGCGGGGGAGGCGACCCGTAATAGCGGATGAACGGTAGTTAAGTTACCTGAAGTGGCGATAACACACTAGTTTGGACAGAATTTTACTTAGGACTGCGGGTCAGACCGCCGACTGGCATCTGTAGGGCAGTAGTTCTGACATGGAGACTCACAAAAACAATAAACTAGAGGGTGCGTCCTAGGAAATCCGTTAACCTGTGTTACAGGTCTCGAGCCTCGACAATACACCAACTCAAGCTCATCTCCGGCGCTGAGCAGAAATGGAGAAAGAAGGCATGGCTGGCCCAAATGGGTCAATCTACTCCAACAGCCATCTCCAAACCATCCATCTCCCGTAACCCAACCCTGACCCAGAGGCAGGCCCCTAGAACTAACTCCGGCCAGGCAGACACGGGTAGGCGGAGAGAAAAAATGTAGAGGTCAGATGACTCAACGCCGACGAAGAAGAGTGGACCACAGTCCCAACCAAAGGCGGGTGTCAGTAAGACTGGAGCACCACGCAATAGTAGCTACAAGCAAAGGAAAGTCAATACCAATAACACTCTGAGTAGGCTAACGGCTAACCAAGCGGATATGACCAGCGCCCAAAAAGGCGCTACACTAACACCCATGTTCAGGGGAGCCACTCCGGCAGGATCCTTAGAATATCGTGCGAGAACAACCATTCCCTTAAGTGGTTGAAGGAGGTAATTAGCAACCTCCCCCAATTGTGGATCGTGGGAGGCTGCACACCTAAAGGTAGTGCAGGTTGACCGCCTTCCTAGGCTCCGCGAGGAGGTCATCTGGGTTCCGGGGGAACCTGACGACCTTATGGCGATCAAGCGACGCTTGGGGGTTTAAAATTCTTGGGCAAAGGTAGGCAGCTGGTGTCTCTTCCACATAGACCTGAGGGATAGTTTTCGGCAGGGGAGAAGGCTCAGTTATGGGTTTTCCTCTCTAAAGGTAAGGGTTAGTAACCCTGCCGAACCTGAGGTGTGGAGTACTTCAGTAGAACATCAGCAGCTGCTACAGAGGCAACTGCAAATATCAAGAGAAGCATCACCGTTCAGGTTGCCAAGGAAACCTGTGGTCAGTGCATGCTTAGCAACAAGGTAATTCTCTACATATGAAAGAGAATTTTAGACACATAAACCTGCAACACTCTAGGGCGGCTGCTGTTACTTTAGGCAGATGCCTTCTCGTAACAAAGCAGAACATTGCCCATTCAAGAACCCTGGGTTGTTAAATCAGGGATTTTTGATCTGGGGGATATAAAAGGAACCGTTTTCTTTGATACACGGCACGAAAATCCTAGAACACTCTCGAAAAATTTTAAAAAGTATTTTACGAAATTACTTGTAGGCTAATGAACTTTAAAATTGTACATCACAACCACTCATCTCTTTTTATTATATCAATGTGCTCCTCTAAAAGCTCCTTGTTGCCAAGGGTATATAAAATTTTTGAAATCGATGTAATAAGTAACTTGTGATAATCAACCTAATAATTACAATGGCGCAAAGACAATTTTACCAACCGATGGTCTTAGGTTAAAAACATCAATGAAGGGTCTAGGTCTAGGAATGTCTTGGAAAACTTTTAAGGAACTTACAACCGATAGCACTAGGAAGTCAATATACTTTTCGAAGTCTCACACTTGATTGTATACATTTGTAACGCATTACCAGATATTCTAGAGCTTCCAAAATTGTGCACCCTTCTTCCAAAGACTTTCCTCTCGAAAGCAGTTTTTTCCAGAACTGAGTCTACTAGATCTGGGAAGGGCTTAGATTACTTGAACAATTGGACTAGAGGAATACAATTAAAATACTAACTCCTAGAGATTTCAAAAATAAAATTAAAAAGTTCCTCAATGATAAAGCGTTCTACTCGTATGAAGAGTTCCTAAAGTGTAATTTTGTTTGTTCTCGTTGACTTATAATTTTAATCGTATGAAGTGTCTATCTAGTTGATTTATGTAAATTCTATTGTTGATTTTGACGAATGTACATGCACACGTGTATAAAACATGAATAAATATTATTATTATTATTATTAAAACACCTAAGAGACTCTGGAAAACAGAAATAAATCTATAGAAAACACTGAAATGATGTCACTCATAGTTTTCCTTTTCTAATAGTTTTCCATAGTTCTTTCAAACTTATTTATGCGTTTTCCAGAGCCCTTATTACCCCTTCCCTCCATATTCTTAAAATTAGATAAATGGAAAAGCAATTTTAATTCTGGTCATCTCTATAGATTGTTGTTTCACTGTTAAATTAAACTAAATTAACTAATAACTTAGATATAACTAAAATGCGTTGTTCTATACTTCAGAGACTTGTTATAACCTTTACTTAGAATGAAGGCTTTGATATTTTTGATCATTAGTTTTTCAAATGCGTGCTAACACGTGAACTCATGGTTTTACGTGAACCAGTGGTTTTCCACAAGTAAGGGAAATGTGACCGCATCGTCACGATTATTGCACGTGTCTTCCAAATAGAGGTTAATTAGATACATTATCGATATACCTACCCACAGCTACACAAATAACTTAATCCTATACGCGTTTGAAAGCGGCTTGAGTTTAGGCAATAAGGTATGCGTACCTAATTACATTTATACAGTTGATTTGATTGTGTTATTGGCGGAAATTAATTCACTATAAGCTGTTAAAAATCGCATTCGCTATGTTGACGGCGGAATTCAAATTGATCTTATGACTAGAAAAAGTGTCCACATTAGGCAATACAATACCAAACGCCACTCCGTCGCAAACAATGAAACTACGAGGGTGAAATGCCACAAACTGACATGTGCACGCAATTCTGCAAACCCTTCAACCCAATTCACTTCAATAAAAGGTTCCTGAAATTGCTACCGCCGAAACCCCTTCAATGTAGAAATAGAATCTTTTAATATATCTGTCAAGAATAATTCCTTTTTCATCCAATCGCGTTCAAATCTCGACGATCTTCGTGGAAAGTACAAATATGTCGGAAATTTAGCATTGACGAATAAATTTTAATACATTAGCGCCGCTGAACCCTAAACCCCCGTAAATTGTTCACCCTGTCTAAGTATGCTTATAAAGTGAATCAGACATCACCCTCTGGATATGAAATAATCTGAATTTGAAATGAAGCTGGGGACGTGAGGGCACGCTTAGATCAGGATGTAAATAGAGGGTGGAGGCGCAGCATACTGTTTGATTAGGGGAGATATGAAGTAAGGGTGCGTTAATTGCCTTGCGTGACCACTATACATGATAGGTATATTTACGCAAGGGTGCAGGCAACGTGTACATTAAACTCGACATTCGTGACTGACTAGGGGAGGTGTGATTTAATTAGGCATTATATTTTTATGGTAGCTTTTATTTTGAAAATGTATGTTGTAGCTGTGTTATGTGTAGGTAGTGAAAATAAAGAGAAAAAAAGCGCTTACCTGTTTGTGCATTTCAACGTTGAGTCCGTACGACATTTCGTAGTACTGAAAAAGAAAGAATATTCAATTCAGGCGTTGTATAAAAATGACACGAAGTGGAACACGTTCATGCTTTCAATGGATCGATTATAAATAATTGGCCAACAACGTGAATAAATAAAAGTATATAACTATTAAAATGCCAAGTTTGGTATCACAGGTCATTAACATTAATATTGAAATGCCGTTTGAATAATATAAAACCCGTGTCCATTAAATGCCATGCATTATTTAAAAGACGGTGTGGAAACCTCATTATTAAATACGTGATCGCGTACAGCAGGATCTAAAAGGCGTAGTAGATATTATCTGCCCTTACCTGCATTTATATCCACCTATTAATAATTGCCCCGGTTTATTATTATTCGGTCTATTACGGTCGCAATTCGTATAATTATAAACCCCTTAAGATATTAAAAGATAAAAGTGAGGAATGAATAAGGTGAAGTGAAGGTTTTCAGCCAAATATCATGCAATAAACATCGCATTCACACATCGAAGGTAATATCGCCAACACCTGCACAAAGGTTATACAATAGCGATGCGTAATTTAGGGTTCGCTTCCAGAGCAGGGAAGCGTTTATGAGTAAAAGGGGGAACTACGAGGACACATACATCATTTCCATTAAAGTCTCCCCTTATACCAAACTATAACTCGCTGTAGTCATTAAGGGTTAGGTGTATTAAGATGTCCACTTGAAGTTTAGATGATGAGAAATTGTATACACAGCAGAAGTTGTAAAGTTCGAGGCTTTATGCACATACTCGCAAGGGGCGGCATAAAAACATTTCTTTTGTTAACGAAATGATATATGCGATTACCCCCAAGGGAACTTAAGAATAAAAATTTGTAAACATAAAGAAATGTTGCATTTAAATTTGACTGTCGTTTCTTTAGATAAAAATACATATTGGTCAGTTTTGAAGCGCTTTTTCCAAAGTAAATTGTTGGTTGACGAACATTCATATTTAATGCCAGATAAACGTGCCGTACATTTCACAATTCGAATAGTTAGAGAATAATGCATTTGTTACCGAAGTCTTACCATACAATTTAATTCAATATGGACAAGCTCATTATTGCATATGTAGGGCACCCTGTATAATGAACATTCCATTCGCTCCAATCACTCCTATTCTGATTTATGTTGTAGATTATTTATTCCAAGGATATACGCTTCGCTGTTAGAATTTTTGAAAATTAACAAACGCAACACGAATTCCAACAGTAGTAACTAAATTCTAATCACACACATTTAAAATTGAAAACACTACGCATGTATGGAATTGTAATGAAAGCAGTATTTATTGCTCAATTAGTTTGCGAGGTATGGTAAGTTAAATTCAATTCTGAGTTAAGGTTGCCATAGGAATGATCAAATTTTACATAGTTTTGTTGATGGAGCAATGATTTTTACCACCAGCACGTTAGTAAGGGAGGTATTGTATTGGGGTAAAAATTGAACCCAACTTTTTTTGACGGAACTACATCTTTTAAAGTACCAGGAATCTGAATCAAACAAAATCTCCATGATGTCGGTCCGTCTGTACTCTCATTTCCGGCTAAACGGCTGAACCGATTGGTACCAAATTTGGTACACATATTCTTAGACATAAAAGGGCAGAATCGCGCATGCGCAGATACATTAACGAATTTACCCTAAAAAGAAAATTAAAAATTAATGGGCAAAAAACATTATTAGAGAGAGTGTCTGCATGACTCAACTCAAGTGCAGTACACATTTATGGAATTTTGAACGTTAGAAGATATATGGGACAAAAGAGCGCCAGAATTATATGCTCTTGTAAGCCATCATCGATTTCAATGGCGAGATGCTTGGGGATTAGATAAGAATATTGGACAACAGTATTTAACCGAGACATATAACCAGCAAGGGGATGCCTTCCTTTTCTTCTGTTTTTTTGTAAAACGTATCGTTAACTACCTCTTGAAAGGGATACATATTGTAACTATTAACGTCATTGCTTGTTTGCAATTCGTTAGTGTTACCCGATCGATGAATGATCGAGTTTTGATTGTGTTAGCAAGAGTTGGTGTACATTGTCTTCCTTCTGAAGTAGAGTACGAGTTAATTAACGTGTTCTATATTGAATCGTAGAATACAAGTAGAGATCATAGTTAGCCCCTTAGGTGAGCATTACTTTAATCACCGAGTCACGCAGGTTAGATGCGTGGATTTAATTTCTCTTTTTATTTGTTTTAGGTGATGGTTGTAAAGTGGAGAGTTCTTTTCGGCTGCACATTTATCCACAGATAAGATTTTTCTTTTTCTTATGACTTTTTTTCTTTATCGAAACAATTATTGAGCGTTGTCATATTGTGTTGGGAGACCTTTGTGTATTCTGCCCTGTAATTTTTATGCGATCATTGTAGAATTGGGGGTTAATTGGACGTTTAATTTGCAAAGACTTTTGAGTTAAGTTTAATCAATCATTTTGAACATTGGGGAGTATTTTTATATCTGTGGAGATACGCTATTCAATTGGAGAATATTTTATTCTGATATTGAATAAACCAGTATTTCTTTTGGTAATTTGATTTCACTGTATTTCCCTTGTATCGTCCCAGCTTTATGCAGGGAAACTATTTAAAGAAGCTGGGTGGCGCTCAATCCTATGGTAACGGTAACGATACCGAAGATTATATATCCTAAACGAATCGACCGCTGTGGAATGAAAGATCTCAAGCCTTTTTTCCAACCCTAAGTTTGTGCGGCGGGTTTGAGTTAAAGCAGCACCAACTCAATCCTACCGTCATAAAATGACGCGGTAGGTAAAAGCAACACCGCACACACCTCTATTTTGCACAATGAGAACATTATTTTATACGGTACTTATCATAAAAACAGGCGTTATTGTTAAATTTTTGTGTAAAGGAGATTTAGCCCCTAATAAAATTCATAGCGGAAAATTCTGTTACTAAAAAGGATATGATAATAATAAAATTCAAGTACATATGTAAAAAAAATTTCGACCCCAAAGTAATCGAATCCAAAGTGACGCCCAAGACAATTCAGAACACAAAATCCGCTTACGCGAAGAAGACTAGCTGATTTTCTCGAAAGTAGTTGTAATGAGCAAAAAAGCTCCGATGGAAAAAGTCCCTGAGAAGTACCCGTCCATCAGGGATTTGCTCATAAGAATATCTACTGCTAAATTAAGAGAATTTTCTCTCAAGGAATATTCGCTACGAAAATGTCAGCGTCGCCGAAAAATACTGTGAGCGTGTAGGCCAGTAAATCTAGTTCGGGACCCATGAATTTTGGGTACAGTTTTTCATTTGTTCCTCGATCGAAAGGGTCTCAAAAGAAAACCTCCACCCTTAGTTTGCGCACTCTCAAGGTTCACCGTTTTTCCGACATTTTAAATCAGATTTTTTTTAACGCTCATATCTCGCGTTCTACTTATCGCACGGCGAGCGGGGATCTTTGGAATCACCGTCCGATGCGTCAGAAATAAGTTACTGACGCTCAAAGTCGACAGAGCTTCGTAAAAATGTTTTCTCGATAATCTTTTTGATCGTAGCTCAAAAACGGTGAGTCTGAGGTTGAAAGTACTCGAAATAAAAAGGGAAGCCAACTCAATTTCGAGTATTTTAAACTAACTCATCCTGATACGATGATATCCGGCTCGCCAATCCACACTCGAAGTTGCCTTGTTATTTCCGGCGCGAGTTTGAAGCGCGTATTTTACATAGGTATGAATTTTAATTTTAATTTTAATTTTAATTTTAATTTTAATTTTAATTTAAATTTAAATTTAAATTTTAATTTTAATTTTAATTTTAATTTTAATTTTAATTTTAATTTTAATCATAACGCAGGACAAAGTTTTCTCACAAATGAAGCCCCGAGAACACGTATCGACGCTTCCACGTCATCGACCACTTCACGCCGAAACAGCCAAAACTGCTGTTTGGTAAAACATATGATTCAAAATGGCGGAAAAACGGTGAACTTTGAGAGTAACTCAGGGTTAGTTTTCTTTCGGGGCCTTTTCGATCAAGGGACAAAAGAATAAATGTTCCCAAAATTCCTGGGTTACCCATGTTCAATTTAGATTTACTGGACTAGTGGCCATTATGTGTAATTTAGCACAATCTTTTTTTCGTAAACCAGCAGAAATCAATAATCATTGAAGTACTCCTGGGATTCTTTTATTTGGGTACGAAAAGGATTTCGACGGAAATTGGGAGCTTTCGGGATTTACTGATATAAACACTTTAAAAACTTCACACAGATTTAGCCTTTTTTCTACTAATCTGGAAATGCATGGGCGGCGTTCAAGCAGCGCTAAAAACAGGTAGTACTAGGCATGTATAGGGTGAGTACTACAGTAATGGTGTAAATAACATCTTCGTGTTTTTATTTCTCAGTAAATTTTCTGGAGGAGAATTTATCAACAGACAGGTCGCTGGAATGAATTTACCGCGTTTAAGTTTTCCGATGTCAACTGTGTAAGTGTTAAATAAGGGCTCATACCCTGAAATTTTAAATGTATATTAGTTTATAGGTGACAATAATTAAATTTAAAGCAAAGCTAAGTACGGTGCTTTCAGGGGTTCATACTGATGATTTAATTCACAAATTAAAACAAAGTGATAATCACGAAGGGTAGGTAACCATATCATTTTGCACGACAGCAGAAATTTGACAATGGTGTGAACAAATAATGACCATAAGAAGGAGTCATGTTTTGCTTGTCCTTTGGCACTAATCACTGGTATTATAAAAATTGTAACAGGGAAAGTTGCCTTTACTTTCTATTTCCAACCAACTCATGTTAGTTAATCTTGATAAGTGAATATTTTCGGTACGTTACGTGGGTACAGGAAGATTACAATATTAAAGATTCAACATTTGCACAACTAATTTGAATAAAGTATCGCGTGTTTTTATATCAAAGCGTTGATATAGTGAAGAATTTTGTTCAGATTTTATCATTTTGATGTATTCCGTAGTCTACTGCCGTAACTACTTTATTTATGGATATTAATATTTTCAGTCACGCCAGTTCGCTTTTAACTAATAACTTTATATTTTGCATAAATGTAACTTGTTACATTCAATTGATGGAAATCATACGCTTACGATAGTTACATAGAGCATATTTTCAGGGGGGTCTTCATTATAATTGCAAATTCGTTCGTTACGTTTTTAATTATAATGGAAATGCTATACTATGAAATTTATATAACTCGAACGTGAAATGAGAAAGTGAGACACGGACATGAAATGTAGGTACCCTCGAATGTACCGAAGTAGATTAACAAAAAACCCTTTTGCGCGTGATACTCTACATAATATGAATAAAAACATTTTTTACACAGTCGTGCTTGCATTTAATTGCATTTAATCATGTTCGTCTAAAAATTCGCTTTAATAAAAAAAAAAGAAAAATATGAATCGTTGATAAAACACTTTTTCTTGTGAAATTGCGTGTTTTCAATCACCATCACCAAAATGTAATGTTTGGCAAATCATCATAACTGCAGTGGACTCTACACCAAGGTCCGAAAGCTTCATGAATCTCATACTGCAAAATTCCCTGGAGGTGCATCGCATATAATGTTCTTACTTTATGGTTTGAATACACCATTTTAGGTACTTAAAAAAGCAATGGGGATGAAGATTTTTTTTATTCATGTGAACATTTCTAAACTGTTTTTTGGTTGCAAAACATGCGGGATCTTTCCGTGAGTAGTTTGGCAAAGAATTAGTGTACTTACCATAACGTAATGTCTCTGTATTTCAATTTTTTCACTGGCTAGTTTCTCGCACTCCAATTTTAAACTGAAAAAGAAATAAATATTATAAAGTAAAAATAAATTAGAAAAATAAGGTTGTTAGGGTTAAGAAAGTTGAGAAACCTATCATCAAGGGTATCATCCCACTACGGGAGAAATTATGACTACTATGAAACGACCCATAATCTACAGCAGCGCCCACAGTTAAATGCGGAAGCATAGTTGATGTTTGTCAGATTTTGGATATTTTTAGCGTAACACAACGAATTTGAGGTAATGCTTAATGTGATCGATTTTCCGTCGTCTGTCTGTCTGTTCCATCGAGATCTCGGCCCCTGATGGGCCACCTAAAAACTTCGGGTTTTCGCTAATTCATAGCTTCTATGGTCTATATCTGCCTGTTACTCTTAATTTACAGTTGTGTTACCCACGAGTAGGTTTTGATAATTTTTTTAAATTTTTTTAAAATTGTATTGACTTTATGTTATAGTGGACGGAATGTTAGGCTGATAGCTACTTTCCCCACTAGGCTCACTCTACAATCACGAATAGCCATCCCTGATCTGGGATTCGAACCCAGGACCCTTGTAGCCATAGTTAAGGGCTACTAACGTAAACTCATCTGAGCTACGCTATGAAAGTAGATGAACCTAAAGGAAGTAAGTTGGAAAAATTAGGAGGTAGAGCGAAACAAAACAAACATATTTAACAAAAAAAAAGAGTCCAAAATGTTTCGTTTGGGAACAACGTCCCCAAAAAATAGCAAGATAGCATTAGCGATTTTACCAAGGCCTTTGGGTATGCCCTTTCCAGTTTTCTAGAAAATTCCTACCCCTAGATACACAAAAAAAAACGCAAATTAATTTTATTTAATTTTGAAGAACTAAGTTTTTTGATGTTCACATACCACAAATTTCCTGGAGATTAGAAGATTTTCGAAAATCACAAAATTGGAAAGAGCATAGCCAAAAACCTACATAGTTTGTTGGATTGTTGGTTTTTTGAAAACAAAAAGTTCGTTTTAGTCCTTTTTTAACATGCGAATAAGTTACACACTTAATGACTGTTATTACTTTATTAGGTTTAAATGTATAAACTAAAATAATCGAAAGGAATACAAAAATACGTCCTCAACATTCATAATATCAGGTTTCGCGCGCAGGACCTTTCTTTTAAGGGGACAACTAACGTTATATGGGAAAGTAGAAAAGATACTCTTATAAAAATGTACACACACAACCATTTTAAAATAGTAGCAGTGTTCTAACACTTCCGGTTATGCCGGAAGTAGATACCAACTTCCTTATTTTAAATGACAACCCCCAATTCCACATTTAAATTCCTCTTTGAAAATTAAGGTTAGTTTAGCAGACAATAACTATGACCAATGACCATCTTTGACCATTTTCGAGATATTAGTATTTTAACAAAATTGATAACTAAGCCGGGTACTTGAACGTTTTGTATCTCAGTGACTAGTAGACGTAAAACATAAAAAATTTGCGGGTACATATAATACTGTTGCTTATTCGAATGAGCATAATGATTTTTCACAATCACTTACAGGGTCTTCACAAATACTAAGAATTCTCGATTCTTATGGAAGTGCCCTAAATATGATCATGATTGTTCGAATAACCAGCATTTGTTTTAAGTGCCCCCAAAATTTCATTGTTTCATTGTCAAATAGTCACCCAGATATATAGCGTACCCACCTTAACGGTCACATTTTTTCCTAAATGCCGTAGACAAATACTTCTACAGCATTAATTTGCAAGGAAAACAAGATAATTGAATATTTCCACAAGATTCTGTAGCCGGTCCGTGCAGATACACCATATCAGACTGCAAGAGGTGGCACAAATTTGTTTCTACATCGATTAATCGAGGAAGCGCATGAAACACATCGATACCTACGGGTGCACACACATTGAAGGTATTTATGAACTATTAACGTTTTATTGTGTTATCGTCTTGCCGTTTCTTGTTGTTTGCCAGTTCTTGTAGTTTGCCATGTTGTATGTTAGAACATTTAAGTACCTAAATAATGGCAAGAAATTTATGTTGAAGCGTATACGTGAAAATGGTTTAACCACCTACTTTTACATCAAGTCGGTGTTCATCTTATTTTCTTTTTAAAATGTTTGCATAATTGATTGATTGATTTATTGTGTCACATTACCATAACACACTAAGTTCTAAGTGAAAATTTATAGGTTCCCTTACTTTTTCAAGTACCTACTTTAGATTTAGTCCAGTCGAGTTAAACATTTACTGCCAACTGTCTCATTTATTAAAGTCGAAGTCAATTGATTTTTGTTAGAATAGATGCGCTAAACTGTCATACTCGTGTAGTAACTGCGCATTTCAAGATTTGTTGTACACTATACTACAATGAATTGAATTACCGCATACTGTCGATGGAAAAAAGTTAAAAAAGAAATACATACCAAAACCGAACATAGGCAATTAACATGGGTAAAACGTTTTTTGAAGATCGTTGCTCCCCATGTTAACTTAGAGGGTTTATAATGACACCAATCAAAAGATTTTTTTCTCATCTAATGATATACGAATAGCTTATTTTCAGGTGTATTTCTCATTATTTTATCAAAAATTCGGCAATAAATCCAATTAGCAAAATCATGTTAAACCATTGAAACATACATATGGATAATTTTTGTCAACTTTTAACTTATATGGCTTTATTTTTCTTGTAAGAATTAGGGGACACTTACTTGTGATACTGCGCTTGAAGGAAATTAAACTCTTCTTTAATTCTATCGCAAGATTCTCCTACGGTGAATTTAAATGGCTGTCCGGGTTGTGGTGGGCCCTAAAAAAATACAAAATGTTAGACAATGGCATAAGTACGTATTATAGTCAAATACAAGCAATCTTTTGAAAACGACGAGGAAAAATTACAGGCAGCCTTCACGGCGATGCTACAATCAGTAGGTAAGCAATGAAGTTTTAGTGAGAATAAAAATGTGATTAAATAAGAACATTTATCTACTTCACAGATACTGGTATAAATTACACGCCTGTAAAGGGTCAAATCTAAAAACCAAGTCAATTTTTATGAAAACTGGTGTTACTTCGCAATTGACGATCTATTGTTATAATCAATTTGTAATGTTTTCTGTATCAATACGTCTTACTAAGTATATTTTACAGTGAACTTATACACGCACCTGGTATTTTTGGCTATGTAATAAGGATAGGTACGTAAAAATTCATCCATGTATACCTAATACAACAAATATTACATTTGAATTCATAGTCTTTTGATAATTAAATAGTAAACAGTTTCGAACTGCCATTTAAACCGACGAGTGTATGTTAGTGTAGATTTATCTAATATTCGTGACAGATAACAACGGTATATAGGTTTGTATATTAATCGCACTATATATTTAAACAGTAAATTTAAAATAATCGTGTCGGATTTACGACTACTTAAAGATCCAACTAACCTTCCCGATTTCTAGCCCCTATCCCCAACTTTACCTAACTTACAGACAAAATGTATTCGACTGCTCTAAAAACTACATCTTTAAATAACTTTCCCTCAAAGGAAACAAGCCATCGTAATAAACGCAAATGACGGTATCCCACAACGAGATTACGTATAGCCATCGGCACAATAGTCAAGCCCATAAAATTTAATTCAAATTCATATCAAAAATGTCAAACAACGAAGAGGATATTTTTTTTAGCGAATAAATATTAGGTCGATAATGTCGTATCCAACTACCAAAAATCAACATTAATGGTACTGAAACCGAACTGCGCCGATTATTTACTCCAGCAAAGGTTGGTATATCCAATCGCGTTGCCCGTCAATTCCCCCATGAAATCATTTGAAAAAGAGCTAAAATCTAAAGGATTAACATTGTATCGCCACTAACTTTCTAAAAGCAGGATTGGAGATCCCGAATATGCAAACATTTTAAGTTTCCGTCGACACAAATATTATAATTCGAATGACAACCATGGCAAATACCGGAAACCTTAATCATACAACACTAAAATACCAAATTATCGGTATATTTATAATCGACAGGACACCATGCGTGTTAATATATGTAAAAAAGACGATCATATCGACTAACCATGCCCTAGTAAAAATGACAAACGGCACCCGGACAGTTCATCAAAAATATACACAACATCTTCATAGTACTAAACAAAAAGAATCTCCAAATTGAAAACCAGATAAATATCCCAAATGCATACAATAAAACGTACAACCTTTCAACAACAACAAACAAGAGAACAGCTAGCGTACTTTTCAACCCGTCTCCAGAAATAATTAGCTTCATCGCCAGAAATATTCAACTCATTTCGCTGAATTCAATCTGCTCAACCAATAACAATAATCAAGAAAACCCAACTTCCCCTCCCCCAAAGAAACAATGAAAACAGGATTTCTTGAATCTCCTGAAACCGAATCCAATTTCTACTGAAAATCGTCACTTACAACAAACAAAAACCAAATCCCGCAAAATATCCAGGCCCAAAAAAAAGTTAAAAAAACCGAAACTTAAAAACTCTGAAATACCCAGAAACAGAACTAGATCAAAGAACTACAATTAACCGCACACCAACATAACAGATTCGACCCAATATCGCTAGTTACCCAAGAGGTTTTCAAAGATTTCATCTACCAAGCTGCAAACTCTAGACCTCTTAACTTAGCAGACTCTAGTGTACGGATATCTTGAAACTGAAGTTGAGATAATAGAAATGCGACAAAACTTAACCAGCAGCAAGGTAAAGCAAAATTCACAAGGTTAATTATAAGAATTGATAACAGCCTCCAAAAGGAAGAGCAAGAAGAACTAGAAAACATTGGTAATGACGCAACAACATCACTAATAAAACCAAATCACTCAAAACGGATTATACAATGGAACATAAACCAGCCTTTTCTATTAAAAAAATGGGGCATCTAAAAATCTTAATGAACGACACTAATCCAGATATAATCTGCTACAAGAAACACGTTTTCTCAGACACTTCAATTCCTAAACTCTCTAAATACAATATATATTATAAAAATAGAATCACACAAAACTTAACCAGCGGAGGAGTCGCCATAATAACTAACAAAAATCTTCATTCCGAAGAAATCAAATTAAATACCACTTTAGAAGCGATCGCAGTAACTGTCTACATACCGTACAAGCTAACCACTCTGTAACCTCTATTTACCACGAGATAAGTCTCTCAACGAACAAGAGTTAAGTAACCTTCTACCCCAACTTTCCCAACACTACATATTACTTGGAGATTTCAATAGTCACAACACGTTATGGGGATCTCGCCACACGGACGCAAGGGGAAGAGAAATTGAAAAATTTTTAAACATAAACCCTATCAACATATTAAATGATAATCAACCAACACACATAAATTCAGCATATGGCACATATTCAAGTATAGATTTAACTTTCACATCCCCAGAAATATTTCCGGAAATAGATTGGAAACCTATGAACTACCTTTACGACAGCGACCACTACCCACTACATATAACAATAAAAGGTAGACCAAAAGCATACTACGCTCCACCTAGATGGAAAATTAAAACAGCCAATTGGACTCTCTTCAGTGCTTTAACAGAAATTGAGGAAACCCTAGAGCCAGATCCAAATAGTATAGACACAACTGTTACTTACCTTGTGAACAAACTCATACAAGCAGCGGAAACAGCGATAGGGAAAACTAAGCCATCAAATTTTAAATTTAGCGTACCATGGTTCAATTCAATATGTAAGAAAAATGTACAAATAGCAAAAACAGCTTATAACTACTATAAAAGTCATCCAAATACGGAAAACTATATCATCTTTAAAAAAGCAAGAGCTTTATCAAGACGTACAGTAAAAGAGGCTAAAAGGGAATCATGGCAGTTATACGTCTCATCAATAAATACACAAACAACAAGTACAGAAGTATGGAAAAAAATTAAAAACTTGAAAGGAACTAAACAACAACAAAAAATTAATGCAATCACAACTCCCAACAATACAATAACAACAAATACAAACGAAATTGTAGAAATACTAGCAAATTTCTTTGAATATAATTCATCAGATAACAACCTACCTGAAGATTTTCTAAAATTTAAAACCGATACTGAAGCAACAACACCACCAGCAATGCTCACTCAGTCAACTCATATACTCAACAATAAAATCTCCAAATCAGAATTCGACAAAGCACTACAATCGACAAAAAATACATCAACGCCTGGACCTGATGAAATCCCATATATATTCCAGAAAAACATATCGGACTCTTGTATAAAATTTATTTTAAAAATCTACAATACAATCTGGATACATAACACATTTCCAAAACAATGGCAGCATGCCATTATAATCCCTGTTCTGAAACCCGGTAAAGATTCCATCGCCCCTACAAGTTACCGACCAATTTCTCTTTCCAATACACTTTGCAAACTGATGGAAAAAATAATAAACAATAGATTATCTTGGTACATAGAACGTCATGGGCTATTGAACCCGATCCAAGCTGGATTTAGAAAGAACCGAAGTACAATAGACGTACTATTAAACCTCGAATCTGAAATACATAATGCTTTCATAAATAAAGAAATACTAACAGGAATATCGCTCGATATAGAAAAAGCTTTTGACATGACATGGAGATACTTACCTTTAAAGAAACTCCGCGAATGGAAAATAGAAGGAAATATATACAATTTCATACAAAATTTTCTTCGAAACAGAACATTTCAAACAAAGATACAAACAACATTATCACGGAAGAAATCCCTTAAAAATGGCATCCCACAAGGTTCCCCCATCAGTGTAACCCTATTTTTAATGGCAATAAATGACATTACTACGCCACTTAAAAAACCTACAAAAGCATTTCTCTTTGCCGATGACCTGTTTATATATAGCAGGGGAAAGGATCAAACAACTATTCAGAAGCATCTACAAGTATCCATCAACAACTTAGTACAAACTGCAAAAATAACCGGCTTTAAATTTTCGGCCCCAAAGACAAAAATCATAAACTTCACTAAATTAAGAAAAGTAGAACAACCACACTTATTCCTAGGCAATGCCAGATTAAAGTACCACTCAGAAATAAATATATTAGGACTCACGCTTGACCAGAAACTTACCTTTAAATCCCACATAAATAAAATTAAAAATAAAACAACAAACATACTAAATCTATTAAAAACATTATCCAATTGTGAATGGGGAGCTGACACTGAAAGCCTGCTAAGAATATATCGGACTCTGATTAGACCTATTATTGATTATGGATCAATCATATACGCATGTGCGAAACCGACAACACTGAAAAAATTGGACCCTGTACATCATTCAGGAATACGTATTGCTTTAGGAGCATTCCGTACGACACCTATAGATCGCCTTTTATGCGAAGCGTCGGAACCATCACTTCAAACTAGAAGAATGATACTTTCTACTCGATATTACATCAAAAGGTTCAACGACCAAGAACATTTTTCTCATAATAACATCTACAGCAACAGATATTATCACAAGTACCTAAACAATGCATCCTTATCCCAACCATTCCACATCCGAATAAAAAGCATGTTAACAATAACCAAAAAACCATCAGAAATCACTACAAACGATAAACCTCGAATCCCTCCTTGGACATATGACATACCGGAAATAAACCTCTCCTTACTAAACTTTCCAAAACAACAATTTAATAACCAAATAATAAAAACCCAGTTTTTGGAAATACTGTCTAAATACACCGGTCAAGAAGTCTACACCGACGCAACCAAATTAAAAAACGAGGTAGGAGTAGCAATTATTCTGCCGGATCAAGAGATATTATACAAAATTAAC